TGACGCGTCACCCGGACATTGAGGGGATGCCCAGGCCGTGGCTGGTGGCCCTGAGCGCTGCCGAGGCCGCTGCGGCCGTCAAGGAACACAACCATGACCACCACTTGGTAAAATATATTTTTATTTGCTCATACAAATAGTATGAATTAGCAGAATTGCATTTTCCTAGAAACATCTTTCTCCGTGTAAAATTAATTTGTGTTGTACATACCACAAAATACTTGATTTACATTTTTCTCTTTTCAGATTCGGGGGTGGAATTTTTTTTTTTTTTGCTAATTTTATTTTGTTTTGGAGGGCTCTTTTTGTTTTCTCTTTTTTACAAATCGGCTATTCCCTAGCACCATTTCACAGACAACACATCACTGACATCTGTACTGCGCTGCGGATTACAGGACTGAATGAAACTCAGCCATAAATTAATGTTACAATGTGAAAAACAATAAGAAAAAAAGAGAAAAAAAGAAACAAAGAACAACTTCTACTAGCACCCCCAAACTTAGCGTTTTTAAAAAAGGTATAAGTTCATTTTTTAAAATGATGATGATAACATTGACTCCAGCATCAGCGAGCGGGATGGACCCCGGGGCATCCACCCTTATGCTCACACTGGTTAGGTGAGGCCTTTCCGTTAAAGGAAGCCTAGGAGCCCTGGTCAGACTTCATTACAGAGGATATTGAGCCAGGGCTAACGATTTGCTTAAGGTTAGAAGAGCTCCTAGTGACTCGCAGTGTTTCTGCTCTGCGACACCGTCTGCTTCGCCAGGGACGTTACATCCAGGCCCAAGTCCCTGGCCCGCGCGCTCTGTGTCCTGGGATGACATCGGGACATTGCAGCGTTGTTTCCAAGAAAGCAGGAGGGGAAAAGATACGGGGTGCTAAATCTTCCAGCATCGATAAAAGAGGCAGACACGTGCACGCCGAAGGAAACCCGGTGGAAACGAAGCAATAAATCACAGCGGCTCTGGCCGCCGGCTGGGGAAGCAGCACGGTCGCGTCTGGGAGCTCGCGCCGGAGCTGAGCTTCGTTCCACCCGCTGCATCAGCCAGCACACAGGAAGACAGAGGATCAGAGACCCCCAGATCACTCCTTTCCATGAGGCTATGGTCTCCTCACCTAGTCTTGGCAGTGAGGAACAGAGCACAGGTCCCGGCTTAAGCTAAACTCAGAGAGCCCCAAGGTGCCTGGGCCCAGCGGAGCTGGGGATGTTCACCCGAGCAAGGTGCAACTTTGCATCCTGCCCTGCCAGCTCTGCTCCAGGGCTCAGCCGGGCACCACGCATCCTCGATCGGCTGAAATGGCTCCAAAGGGCCACAGGAAACAGCTGTGAGGGGCAGGCAAGAGCAGGGGTTAGTTAAAGTAAATGAAACGGCTGGGAAGCACCAGTGACTACACACGAGAGATGCTGGCACAGCTCTGCAATGTGCCGTTCGAAGGCTTTTTCCATAGGTTACTGCAGGGAGAGGTGCAGGGCACTGATGTATCCATGTATGAGGCTGGAGCACCAGTAGCCATTGGCTGCACCTCTGCAGGGTGGCACTGCTACAAAAGAGCCTTCCCCCAGGCAGGTCAAAATCCCAACTGGGGCCTGGGACGTAGGGAAATCTTAACCCAGTGCGTCCTGGGGACACCACGGACAAGGTGTCCAACCCACGGGTGACTGGAGCCAAGACCTCTACCAGAGACATGGCTCAGGTCCCCCCAATCTCCTTCCATCTGCTTTGGCTCCCAAGGGGCTGGGGATGCAGCTGAGGTGGCCTCTGTCGATGGGGACAGCCCCGTGCAGCCACCCTGACTTTTTCAAACATTTTGGTGGCTCTGGTGGCTCCTTGGTGCGTGCAAACAGGCTCCTCTCCCTGCAGGGACAGTTCTGCCTTTCCCAGGGCCCTGCGTGTGTGAGCGCTCATAGGGCTGATGATTAGGAGTCATTCAGACCAGCACTGAAAATGCAGTACATGTATAAATGTACAGAGATTGTTTTCTTTCACATTTGTCCTGCAGCAAAGACTTAAAATGCATAGAGGGATATTTGGAAAGAGCCCCCTTGGCAAAAGGCAAGAAGGAAACAGGCTGGGGAGACAGCTCTCCACGTGCAGGAGTCTCTCAGCCTCCCTGTGCCTTCTCCTCCAGAGCAGGGGCACATTTTCCGCACAGCAGAAGCTCGGGATACGTCCCATGCCAAGGGCAGCGGGAGCGCTATGGCT